ATATGCATGTTTATGCTTGATATACGACCAACTCTATAGATTGCATTCATCTACAACTTGCGATATTATTATATAATAATTTAAATATAACCCATAAATGAGTGTAAAATGCCTAGAGTCAAGTAGACTAAACCATCTCATCATACCAGCTTATCTACCTCATCCATAATCATCACATTTTATATCCATGCTTTTCACTTTTCTATAATATTAATACTTATTATTATACATCACAACATCTTTACTAATAGATTACGAACTAATTCAGTTAAATTTATTATCAACAGTCACTCCTATGAATATAGCACTATTGGATACAGCCCATACAGAACCAACGTATGAGGATTGCTACAGGACTGAATACGGTAATTTGGTGTATGGATATTGTAGTTTTCTGGTTAATGCAATTGTAATCCAATCCAACCAAATAATTGTGTTTTCAGTTTCTCCGAAACGGAAATAAAGTATTGTTAGCCGGGCCGATATAGGCCGTGGTAGAGAAAATGGCAAAAATGATATAATTTCCATCCTGTTTTTAATCTTCGATGGTGGTAAGCTAATGACAAAATAATTTATACAGTAGAACTGTTATTAGCGTATCGTCAGACGTAAAAAACCAAAGTAGATAATATAAGTTTATATAAAAAAAAAAAACGTAGGTGAAATGGCTTGTTCGTTCATGTGCATCTTTCAATTAAAAAGCAGTTTAGTTGTCTATTTCGACTGTTTTATCATACATTTCATTCGGTGCTGTTGATCTACAATACACTAGCTTTAAAATACTGGCATGTTTTATTGCTTCCATAGCTCGGATGAGCCTATACGAAAATCCTGAAGCTACGCCAGTAAGTTCAACAATCCTATCTCTTTAAAGTTTAAATAATAAAGTGATTGGATCATATGTTGTACACTACTACTCTATAACACCATCATTAACTGTTGTACTGTTTGTCTGAAATGTTTAAATAATTATTGTTTTAGGTTTTAGCAAGCATTAATTCTCTGAACAAAAACACGATTGAAAGCCTGTCGAAACTCATTGAATTATATGCTGAAAATGTCGTTCTAAGCTCAATTATTGGAGAAGGAGAAAAGCATCACCTGTACCTTAATGTCCGAGAAGTAAATAAAGTTATCACAAGGTAAATATAAATATTAATATAATAATTGTAGTTGATTCTACAATCAACTATTTAGGGGGTTGGTAGAGGGCGCCACAATTACCCAACGCAGACAATAAAGATTTATACACGACTACCATATAAAACAAGGGTACTGTATATTTATTTGGTTTCTCTCTGCTGATCTTGTGACTAAGCATAAAACAACAATATCTAATTAACATCAATTAATTACATCATGTAAACAATAATCATAAACATAATACATACAAAGTAACAAGAATTGTAAGTGAATCGTCTTCATGAGATCATAATTCAGTATATTGTAGAAATGTATAAATTTACTGCAAAGAACCATCGAAATCAAAGTGGATTATTAAACATTATCAATTATATATAAGAGTTTCATTCAGTAATCGAGTACAATATTAATAAAGCAAAGCATGACTCATAACAATAATATAATAATAAGAACTGCAGTGTCAGTCAATATTATAGAGTACACTTACGAAACTATGGCGCAACTATCCAATAATAAGCATAAGCACTCATCTGCCATCACAATGTTTTTAGGACTGTACATCATCTAATACATAAAACAAATCTGTTTGATAATATACTCAGTAGTGACACTGTTAGATACATGGGTATCATCAAATCATGAACCCATCGGCTTAAACAATAAATCAACATTTGCCGGTACATGAAAAATAAATCACTAAAAATACTGTGTTAATCATTAGGCACGTTACTATAGATTAACCTTCGTGAGGCATGTGAAATAATCACAGCAATATAATATATAATAACACTATCGACAGACTTGTAGACCTTTATAATATTCGCTGCTATTCAAAACCTGTTTTTTTTTTTTAAATAAAGATGTTATCTATTTTATTCTGCTGTTTTTAAAAATAATCTTATAAATTATAAGTTTATAAGTTTATTTTCTATGATAATTTTATCCACATAATTCATATTTTCAATGTTAGTATGGTTGATAAAAAATACATAAAATAATAATAATAATAATAATAATAATGAAGGTGCTTGAATAATGCTTTAATAAAGAATTAATAATACTTCAATAGGCCTATTTGCGATAGTGTGATTAATGAGATATTTATTGATTAATTTATAGAAATATATAATAGTTATAGGCCTATACCATTAATAATGATTCAGCATATTAAATCAACTTACGTCTATAGATGTAAAATCTGCTTTTTTTTTTTCTTCAATAAAGTGTTACCTATTTTATTCTGTTAAAATAATCTTATAAAATACCGTATATTATAAAGTTTCATTGTAAATTATATGAGAAAATCCACATAATTTATGTTTTCAATTATTTAAGCATTTAAACAATTCAGTGGGCCTAACGCTGGATGTAAATGTAAAACAAAACAAAAACAAAAAGCAAAAGCATCGCCAAAGTGTTTTCATGCATGCAAAGGCTAATACTATCGCGCGATTACACGCGTATTTTTGGTAAGCAGATCTCAGGATGGTTCACACGAGGTGACGAATATCCGTCGAAATGCCGTATAAATAAACTGCAATTATGTAAATAACTTTCACAAGAACTTTACAAATATCTTAATTAATATAATCTTAATTAATATTTTAAATTAGTTAATTAATAATTAATTAATAGATTGATATAAACATTGTGACCTTATAACTACGATTTATTTAATATGTTTTAAATAATAAATACAAGAATCCTGCAACGAATTTTTTAGGTCAGAAATTGGCATCAAAAAGTAATAATTTTTCAATCGCGATATTCGTATTTGTCGGTAATGGAAATAGCGACGATAAACATATAATGATTAGTTTATAGTTTTTATTATAGTTATAATAATAATTATATATTATATTTCTATAAATTAATCAACAATTATCTCATTAATCACACTATCGTAAATAGACCTATTAAAGAATTATTGAAGTATTATTAATTATTCACTAAAGCATTATTCGAGCACCTTTATTATTATTATTATTATTTATTTTTTTATATATATATTATTTATCAACCATATTAACATTGAAAAAATGAATATGCATATGTGCATAAAATTATCGCAGAAAATAAACTTATAATTTATAATATTATTTTTTAAAACAGAATCAAATAGATAATGTTTTTATTTAAAAGCAGGTTTTGCATGGACGTAATTTTATTTAATATGGTGATTATTACTATTTTATTAATCAAACTATCGTAAAATTATTATTATTATTATTATTATTATTATTGTTATTATTATTATTATTTGTTTATTTTTTGTTTTATGTATATGCCTAGGTCTATATAATATATATTGTATACATTTAATAATTTAATTAGAAATAATTATTTAAACTAATTGTTAAACAAATATAATATAATGTTAACAATAATATAGTCTAAGCTAGACCTATTATTATTATTATTATTATTATTATTGTATACTAATCAATTATTGATATGATAAAGGCAAATATTTAGAACATCATTAATACAACACCTTCATGACAGTCCGGCCCTCCAAATCTTGTTTTAATAAATAACTGAATTCACTTCAATGATATATTTTGATCTTCATTCATTATTATTATTATCATTTACTTATTATTATTATTTATTTATTATTATTATTATTATCTGTATTATTATTATTATTATTATTATTATTATTATTATTATTATTATTATTATTATTATTATTATTATTATTGTCTTTGCCATTAATATTATCATTGTTTCTTTGGAAGGTTTCTTGTACAGGGACATGTTCCTCTTTGCCTAACCAGTCTCATTACGTTTTGAGTGAAATAAAATATGAATTATGAATTATACCAATGTCATCTATCGATAAAAACATCGATTCGATTAATTAACAGCAGCTTTTCGCACTGTGGCAGTGCCGATAGAAAACAGCAACTTTTTGGCACTGCGGCAGTGCCGATAGAAAACGGCAGCTTTTTGGCACTGCGGCAGTGCCGATAGAAAACAGCAGCTTTTTTTGGCACTGCGGCAGTGCCGATAGCCACTACCGTTGCACAGCAGGATGCAGGCTAAGACAATGTATGCCGTACAATACATATAACTCAAATAACATTAAACTGCATAAATCAATCTTACTCATGCCATGTCATAACTTAGGTTAAATTGGGCAGTTGTTACCAACTTACTACAACAACTAATACTTTAGCACAGTAAATTTAAATACCTAATACTGTAACTTGTTTACACCAAAGGATCAAGAACAAGCAGTTACAACAAAGGAATATACAAGCCAGTTGTATCCTTGTTAAACTTCACCTTACTTAGGCTGTATTCATAACAAGAGACTTTCAATGCATTAAAGGCAGTAATTAATACACTAAGTAACTAATCTTATAATACTATAAATATAAAATGGTAAAATAAAACATACCATAAATGTACTTGAATCACATAATAAGTGAGTGGTCAAACACACGTCTGATCCCGATTACATTCAGGAGGCCACTAATTCACGCTAATTTTTTAGACGCTACTGACCCACGCTATCATTATGTAATGAGTGACGACATACAAATTTCTGCCCTCTATAATGGGTTTTACAATAATAATGGCCTAATAATTATATA